AGTGTCTCCGCGGATATGCAGCTGTTGCCTCTCCCCCAGATTGGCCCCTATAAAGTCACCACATCCAACTGTGGCCTCTGCTTCCCAGAAATGTTTCCATATCCAAATGTCCTTCCCACATCCAGTACTTTTCCCCTACAGGTGTGTGCCCCATTCACTGTGGCCAATTCTCATAAGTGTCATCAATATTTATCTATGGTCCCTTCCTGCCCAGACTCTCCCCCCGGCCCCCCGCCGTCCAGCTGTGGCCCCCTCCTCTCATCTACAGTTATTAGAGGTGCATCCTCGTCCTAGACTTGGCCGATTGTCCTCTGATGGGCTTCATCACCCCAGATGCTCCCTGCGTCCAGCTGCACCTTCCCGCTGGTGCAGTCTCTCTATCTGCCCGCTTCCACCTCTCCAACCCCTGCCAGCTCCGCCCGCCGCGGCTCCTTCCATCCCGCAGTCCTATCCAGCTGTACCTCTCCCCTCCCCCAGAGGTACACCCTTTCCGTCCCACCCCACTCACCTACCCGCCCCAGAGAGGCGTCCACCTCCCACAGTGCCCCGCGCCGAGGCCCTTGCTCCCGGGATGCCCCGCGCGACCTCCCGCCTCTCTTCCCGCCGTGCCTCGCGCAGCGGCTTCGCTCTTAATCTCCTTACCTCGCCAGTTACTCCGGAGGCCTGCAACCACATCCCTCTGTCCAGAGCAAGGGAAGCCGCGGGCCTTCTCCCAGCGTGCTCTGCGGGAGGGCTCGCCCCACTTCACCCCCTCTCCTGGCAACCCCAGCCCTGGAGACTACAATTCCCAGCGTCCACCGGGCCGCCGCGGCGCGGACGTCTCCCAGGCCCCACCCCACGGCTGGGCCCCGCCCCCGGTCGCCGAAGTCTGCGCGCGAATTCCGTGGCGCGAATTTGGGACCTTAGTCGAGCGGCCAGGGTTTCCGGGTGTGACGCTTAGGACTGTGGCGCGCGGGGCCGGNAAAAAAAAATAGCACCTTCCATCACTTTGAATCCTCTTCTTGTTAGCACCCAACTCTATTGAAATTATATCACATTTGGATGCCTCTATTGCTGGTTCCTCTCACCACAGCTCTAAGCTATCACTAGCGGCTATCTCTGCAAGGTGGCCAATAGCCATCGGGAGCTTTTTAAATTTCGGTTAGTTACAATAAAATAAAATTAAAAATCCAGGTCCTCAGTCCTAATGGCCACATTTCAAGTGCCGGAGCGGGGGGCTACCCTACTGGGCAGCGCAGAATCACAGACCATTTCCATCATGGCGGTAAGTTCAGTTGGGCGGAGCTGCGCTCCACGGGGAGTTCTTTGTAAACAAGGACCACATGTGTCTTGTTGGCTGCTGCACCCTCAATGCCTCAGTAAATACTAACTGAATGAATTCATGAAGGAATGAAGGAAAGGAATGAATGGATGAGTGGGAGGAGGGACGAATGAATGAACCGCCCCCGGCCTGCCTCTTCCGAGACCCCACCTTGGCCTCGGGGTCAGTGTGGAAGAGCCCCTCCAGCACGTGCAAGGTGTCAATGATATTGTGGTCGCTGTCCTTGCAGTAGGAGAGCAGGCGGTGCACGTCGGCGGGGGACAGGAACTGCTTGGAGGTCTTGTTGGTGGTGCGCGCTGGCAGGCAGGTGTTGGCCAGGAGGCGGCCCAGCTCTAAGTAGCAGGCGAACTCGGTCGGGCAGGTAGGGTGCGCGGGGTCAGCTGGCACTCCGTCACCACGAGGCGGTCCCGCAGTGGGCTCAGCTTGATCATGATGAAGGCAGGGCAGCCAGCCTCGTGGTGCCTGTGGGAGAAATGACCGTGGGCGTGGTCACATCTCCCTGCTGCCCTCTTCTCTCTCATTATTTTTTGGAATTAGAAATTGTCTCAAGCATAGAGAAGAGTAGAGGGCCTTAAGAATATGCCAGCTGTTCTGCCCTCAGGTGAATCATTTCAGGTCTCTGTGCCTCAGTTTCCTCAGTGAAAAAGGAAGTTATACTCATACTAGCTTTCTCGTAGGGTTGTCCTGAGGATTAAAAGAGCTGGTATATGGAAAGCACTTAAAAACAGTGTCTGGAACATGGTGAACCCTATGTGTTGGCTGTAATTCTGTACCCACCACCCCAGCTCTATGAGAGTGAATGACTGTTTTATTATATTGGGTTGTTGGACAAGTCATGATGCGTTTTTGCAACGAAAAACTTAGAAAAAATACGTCATGACTTTTCCGACAACCTAATATTTACCTCAAACAAATTTAAGAAAAAAAACATTTCAGGTATTCCTGTATCTGCTTCTGATTTAGCAATAACAAAATGGAAAGCTAAGACCCTCTGTGAACTTGCCCCAATAAAGTCCCCCCCGCTCCATCTTCAAAGGCGACCAAACTCGGTATTTAGCATTCCCGCATGTGTTTTTATGCACTCCTCAACAGTGGGAGTTACGTTCCTATGTTTTAGAACTTTGTATACACGAAAAGGTACTCAAACTCATTGGTCTTCAAGGCAATACAAATTTAAACCCTAAGAAAATGCCACTACACACCGCCAGGATGACCAAATAAAAGAGACTGATAACATCCAGTGTTGATGAGGATGTGGAGCAACTGGAA